CACATTGTTTGTGATGCTTCAAAATTGCATATGGACAGTTGCTTACCTTCAATGTAATAGTGTTTTTATTCTCTTGTTATGATCTAAGGCTAAAGTGTCCTCCAATTAAATCACGTACCTTGCCTCAGTTGGAATTAACAGCCATTTATTAGGTGTCAAATTAGCTAATTATATAAGAAATAAGTTGCAGGAGATAACTATTAGTCGACACTGTAATTTGGTCAGTAATGAGTATCCTTACAGAATGGATTCGTAATGGAAACAGTAAAATGTGTACGTACAAAACAGAGTCCGCAAATTAATCAGATGCAAGAGAAGTTATAAAAGTTTGGGGTTCCCCAGCATATGTTAACATTTAATCCATATACCTGGTGAGGAGAATCCAGCTGATTTCTGGTCTCGAGGTTTACCATATGCTAAATTTGTAAATGCTGTAATCATGGATTATAAAGGACCGAGTTGGTAAAAATAAAGCTAATTTGGCCTGTAACAAAAGCGTATATTTTTTGGGCTCTCTGTTGAAATTACTGTGACCACCACTCCAATAGTTTTGTGTCCTCTCCTAGCCATATGATATAAATAGTATTCTTCTTTACCCAAACTAATCATGTAACTAAGTTGGTGTTTAAATTTCTAAACAAGATATTTCCATTTAAGTTTTCACATACTCTAGAATATTGGATAAAGAGGTAACAGGAGGAAATCTATGAATGAATTAAAATTGATGATGGAAAGAAAAATGTGAAAGGTCCCATAATAGTGAAACTGGGGCTGTATTTAGAGAACAATGAATTAGGTTCAGAGGTAGGTTACAAAATCTGAATTGGGTGATTTTGCTAAACACCCTATCTTACTGCCAAAACTCATCATCTAGACAAATTTAATTGTTCTAAATGCCTTAAAACGGTAATGCATGGTGGGGGTACAAGATACCTTAAATTGTATTAGGAAACTTTCTGGATTCCACAAGGACGGCAAAAGTGTAAAAAGGGTGATTAATCTTGTGTCAAATGTCGCCGTGGGATGCCAGATCTGTATGTACCTACCAGGTCCTCCACCATTGCAAAGGAGCGTGTACAATTAAGTGGAAACAATTATGTAACAGGTGTAGGCTATAGTGGTCCAATAATATTAACAGGTACGTCAAATGGTGTTCCACTGAAAGTGTAATGTTTAGTTTGTTTCACGCGTACTGCTACTAGGGCAAGTTCATTTAGAAGTAGTGGCACAGGACTTGTCTGCAGAACAGTTTATACACTTTCGAAAATTTGCAGCTAGGAAGATCCTGTCCGAGTTGAAGATTTCGGATAATGCCACAAATTTTCGTAGCAGGTGCTCAACACTTGATAGAATAAATAATAGTAACGAAGTCAATCTCTGTTAACCCAGCGAGGGTACCTGGAAAATTTATTACTCTAGAGCCCCCCTTGGCAGGGGGGCTGTACGAAAGACTTGATAGGCACAGTGAAAGGTGTCTCCCAAAGTACTACACCGAAGAGAATTAATTTGGAAGAAATTCCGTGCCGTGTTAGTGGAGGCAGAAAATCTAATTAATAATAGGCCTCTCTCGTACATTGGGGGGAGTGATACAACACCGATCAGATGTATTAACACTTCTCACCTAAATGTGGAAGGAAATTGGAAGCTCCCCTGTCTAATATGAGAATAATCCGGACGAAAGTGAGAAGATTACGATGATCGGCAGTGTGTGTGATAAATTTAAATGTTAAATGAAGTAATTGATCATTGGTCTAATGGTAGAGCAAAAGGAACATCTTCTTACACTACGTGAACACTCTTAATGTGGCGACAGAGGCAGTAAATCGACAGACCATCAACCAGGTGACATTGTGCTAATTGACACTGGAACAACATCGAACATTGGGGCCTCTGGGCAAAGTATTGACATCGAACCCAGATGCACAAGGTTGTTGTCAGGAATGTCAAAGTGTTGTGTCGTGGCCAGGAAAAAAAAGGATTATTTTGATTTATATTGTTACACAATTAATAAATTTGATTCCTTGTAATTAGGTTGTTCAATCAAACGTAATGAAAATCTGAGGGAAAGTGACACGATGGATAGGGAAGATAACGCAGACCAGTGATGCCAAAGATGAAAACGTAGTAAGACCTACTAGGAGAACAGCCACTCAAGCCAGAACTAGCTGTAATCGTCTCCTAAAGGAAGGAGTAATTTGAATCGTTAGCAACGAACTCCGGGCCGGCCGCAGTTGGAAAAATACTGTATATATTTTCCCAGAAATTCAGTATTTAATATGTAAAAGATGGCCATACGTTATTTAATAAATATTTATGTCATAGAAAACTGAAAGCCTGCGTCTGGGCAGGGGACTCGCAATCTTGGTTTTGAATTTTGTACAAACGTTGGTGTAATGGGAAGAATTTTTCGTGCACTAGAGGTTAAAATTGTGTTGACAACCTCTCAAATAGGAGGCAAAATGGGATGTGCATTCCTGCATAACTTGAGGATTATAAAGACGACTGACACGACGCTTCAGAACTCTAGATAAACGCTCTCTAGATTTGTGTGTAATTTTGGCAAGCATTATTTTCATAGATTTCGTTAAGTGAGGTTTCGAGTATGATACACATTAATCTCCAGTAAATTGGTGAGTGATATTTAAGATATAATTTCCTTCTGTTATGTAATTGTGTATATATATATATATAACATATATATATATATATATATATAAATATATATATATATATATATATAAATATATATATAACCATTTATTATTTTTTAATATACAGTCCACAAAATTTATATATTTACCATATTCCGGGTGTAATGTAATAATTTTTTTTATTTTTTTTTATATAATTAATAGGTTCCCAGAGCAACTTGTGTTATGACCGTGGTAGTATCCGAAGGGGGATATTTTTTTGCGACCTAGGTGTCCCAAATTCCTACTTGGTTCTAAGTAACATTGATAAATAATAATTATCTTTGTTATCATTTACTGGTATGTACATAATTAGTTACATTCAGATAAATGCAATTTTCCACAATAATCTTATTGTAAAGAATAAAACTCTTAACAGGAACATCGAAATTGTGGAAGGGGACAAGACGACGCACACAGTAGAGGGGCTCCAGACGAGCATTGTTTATGTGTTCAGAGTCTACGCTGAAAATGAGGTCGGCATGAGTGATGCTCTCGTTCTCAGGACCCCTGTCAGAGTTAGGGAGAATTTAGGTAAGCACAAGTACTACTGTATTTAATCAGCAACCTCCCTGCCTGGCTATGTTGATAAATTAGACATGTGCAACTCTTGGGTATCTTTATTGAGGAAACGTTTCGCTACACAGTGGCTTCATCAGTCCATACAAAGGAGAATCTTGAAGAACAGGAGTAGAATGAGGTAATCAGTCCCTCAACCTTGAGTCGATGTGGTCAGTCCATCAATCTTGAATAGAATACGGCATACGTGCGGAGAAGGAGCTTATAAACCGTTGGTAGGAGAGGTGCAGCAGTCATAGGTGGTGTCACACTTGTTCAATGTGGAAGTAGGTCGTGCCCAAGAATTAGGCAAGCGAAGAATTCCCAAGTATTAAGATCCCAAGAAGTTGCAGTGTCTGACAGGTTTGTAGATGAATGGTTCAGAGAACCGACATGTTGATAAATTAGACAAATGTGCAACTCTTGGGTATCTTTATTGAGGAAACGTTTCGCCACACAGTGGCTTCATCAGTCCATACGAAGGCAGAGATTGAACCCGCGGTCATAGTCTCAAAACTCCAGCCCTTAGCGTTAGCCACTAGACCAGCTAGCCACAATAAGATTCATCCAACTAGGTATATTTCTACACCATAGGAAGGTTAGCACAGGCACCACTGTGACCACAAATGCAAGTTTTTACAGACGAATCTCCAGCTAGCGTGGCCGTGACGAACTCTAGCTCAAGTCCCTTCACTGCCGGTCTAGCTGGTCTAGTGGTTAACGCGACGGGCTGGAGTTTTGAGACTATGACCGCGGGTTCAATCCCGGCCGGGGGTATGGTTTCAAGTTATCTAATCTAACACGCTTATTATTCTCCTTTTTGCTTATTTTCTCTCAATCATTACCCAACCATTTCCTTTGGCCTCTCCGGTAGCTCCATGTAGATGGTATTGAATCTTACATTCTAACTTAAAATCGGTTTCAGCCTCACGGAATATATTGTTAATGTCCTAGAACTCACCGGACTGATGTCATTTTAATCAAATTTAAGTCAGTGAACATGAAGCCAACGAACCATTATTATTATTATTATTATTATTATTATTATTATTATTATTATTATTATTGGACCATGAGACTCCATATATTCTTAACTCTGCGGCAAGGAAGTTCAGTATTTTCAAAATGGAGCAGAATTATTTATATTAAACATGAAGTCACGGAAACTTTAGTTTTCTTCAGCATTAAAGACTATCATAATTAATGGTATACTGGGGCAATTATGGAAACTAGTGGTTCAAGGCCATGGTGCTCATCAGCCGATCGTCCGCCATCCTTCACGCCGGTGAGGGGCTCTTCTAGGGAATTAGATCTGTGCTCCAGTTCCCTAAACTGAGCCAGAATATCTTCCTCCCACAGGCGCTGTATAATCCCTACGGGTATAGCGCTCCCTCATGATTATATAATGATCGTCCGCCATACTAACCCCCCTTTATGTATGTGATTATTCTGCCCACCGATTAACGAAATTAAGAATGTGGAAAAAGTATATTGTGAAGCTCAGAATCTCGGATCTCTTAAGGCTTTTGGCACTAATATGCACAGGCTTATTTGTTAGACTTCACATATTTTTTGCTGTTCTAAATAAAATATTGTTATTAATATTTTCTTAATTATCTACAGAAAGTTTTATTGTTGTAACTTATTGGTTTGATAATCATGTTAGGAGAATCAGCTCAGTGTAGCGATGTATGTAGTGAAATCGTTGTAATGAGGTATACGTGTTAGGCACATATCACCCAAATGACCACAGCTGAGAAGGCTGGAGAAGTAGGCATCAGTGTGAGCCGCTTACGTCTGACTTGGCAGTAGTAGTAGTGGCCAGGATGGTTGACGTGCCGATCCCCCTTTCCCCTCCCCCTAAAGCACTATCCCCCACTGGCAGTACCACCTGAGCTGGCACCCTCGTCCTGGCTCAGTCTCTCTACCCCCGTGAGCGTGGCACCAGCAGAAGCTGCAATAGTTTGGGGGTTGGGCGGTGTTACTGTGTTTGTACCGGATGAACGTGTGATGGTGCTGTAAGCTTATCAGACAGCCATGGGCAATAAGCAGGGCCATGAGCTCTCGCCCGAAGAGAAACAGAAGCTTAAAGAAGAAAAGGAACGTGAGAAAAAGATTTTAAAGGAAGAGAAGGAACGCAAAAAACGTGAAAAGAAAGAAGAGAAAAAACGTAAAAAGCAAAAGAAAAAGAACAAGGATGGTATAGTACCGGAGTTAGGCGAAGAGGACGATGACGCTGAGAGTGTTGGAGGCAGCTCAGCATGGTCAGAGAAGAGTGTAGGATCTGCTCCTGGGTCTTGGTATCACTCCGCCTCAGAGCCTTCCTCCAAGAGGTCTTCCATCTATCTTCCAGCATCAGCTGGACCTGGGTACTACCAACATGATTGTTGGTATCCAGGGTACGAAGATAGTGGCTCTGAGAAGTCCAAGTCACCATCTCGAGCTCCTAGTTTGAAGGACACACTAAATATTCGAGCTAGCTCCCTAGAACGCTATCCTCTAGGCGTGCCAAAAGGAGAGCCAATTGAACCTTTGCATAAAGCTGGATCACTAGATTTATCTTCTGCTGTTGCTAAATCATACTTAAAAGAACGAGAAAAACGACATTCCGAAGACGACGTTGCAGCAACGATTGCTTCTCGTTATGATGAAACTCTACGTAGCTCACGAGACAATATAGAACGCACAACGGTGGAAAAATTATCCCTCATCAATAAGATCGTCTCGGAACGTACCTCTGTAACAGATCGAGTATCACTCGACTCGTCTGTTTATCATTCTGTGGAAGAAGGGTCGGTCCGTGGTGAAAAGAGAAAGGCTTCTCTTGAAGAGCGCGGTGCTCTTTCTACAACAGAAGGTGGTTTAGGTTCTGATGCAAAACGACAGTCGTTAGACTATGCCTCAGACCACACTTCAATCACTGGTTCTATCTACTACTCTGCCGATGAAGGAGGCTCCATTGCTGGCTCTGTTTACTACAGCGCCGCCTCTGGGTCGGAGGTAGAGGATCATGCCGACGAAAACGAACTTCTTGGAAAAGGTAATCTATTTTAGTCATCACTCGTGATTATCTTTGCAATAAAATTAAGTGACCATCGTCAAGTACAAACATATTTGTAAACTGATTTTTGCCTCGTATCTTATAAACCAGTATATTTCAAGGTTAGATATATAATAATATAGTTGAAGTAAAGATCTTGTCGAGGACCATTTCTGCGAGATTACGTTAGAAGGTTATAAAAAAAATAAGCTTAGTTGCTATTGATTTTTATATGAAGAGGAAAGGTGCTTTGATGCCAGTGAATGACTTGATCCAAGGAATTGGCACTACCTTGTAGAATCAAGCCTGATTACCTCCCTTTCTCAGTCGCTGTAAGATTCCTGTTAGAGCCTCCCCATTATTATAATAATTAGAGCTGTGCCAAAGTATCGATATCGATAGTTATCGACTAATTTTGTTGGTACCAGTATCGACCTAAAATTGCGTATGGGTAACTGCAAAAAGTTGTGGCATCCTCCCATTCAGTTGCATGTGAGTCACCCAGCCACATCTTTCCCCAACTTTGGGTCACTTGAATGCGGTGATGGGGTTTGAGGGAATTTGTGCCCCTAAGGTAGGAGCCTCTTCTCTCGGTGCCACGCTATCGAAAGAGTGCATTCTTGACTAAGAACCCAGCATCTTTTTCGATATAAATGGATTATGGATATGGACTCCGTCATGCAAGAAAAACAGATTTTGAATAGTTTTTCTTGCTTTACAAGTGTACTTTATGTAATACGAGAGCGAATTCGTAATACCGGTAGCAAGTTGACAATGATAGTGTAAATTTGACAATGTTTGAAAAGGAATATGTAAAAACGCAGAATAACTGTAAATATATGAAACTACCAACCCGGCCACAGCTGCTTTGTATGTTGACTTGGTGTCAAACTGAGAAATGTTGCCTATTATGATGAAAAGTGGGGATACAGCATTAAATGAATAATTCAGGAAAATTCAGATTATATATTTCGTGACGAAGCGTTTCACCTTCGTCATTCTTCACATTCCTTGGCCAATTTTTACCGTCCCATTCCCTTCCCTTCCCTCTGTCTTCCACTACAAAGCTCTTGACTTTTAATTTTTTTTTTTCGATTTTTTCTGTCCAAAACAGGTTTTGTCTTGCATGCTAACTATTGCAAGTTTAGGCATACCTAACTAATGCTGGTTTAAACCTGCCTCCTAACTAATGTTAAGCCTATCTTTGCAACGACTGCAAGTTTAGGCCTCCCTTTGAACAGACACAGGTTTATATCTCCAGTTTAATGGATGTATAGGCCCTACCCTTTAACTAAATAAAATATTAGAGATAGCATCCTTTCAGGTTTGCGCATTTATTCAGTCATCTTTAATCCTTAAGGAAGTAGCAAAACTCAATTTCTTTTTGTAATTTTCTAGTATTTGATGAAATAATGACTGAAGACGGAACGCCAAGAACATAGCCCCTCTTTTATAGCTACAGATAAGTAATTACATACAGGGTTTGCGGTTTTTCGACGAATCTACAATTACACAAACCTCCAAATGGCTGTACACATTACCTGCTACGTTTTTTTTTATTCTTGGGGTTGATTAAAAAAATTATTCTGTATCTGTTAAGCTTGTTTTCAAATTATGTATCAGTGTATTAATACGCTGGAATCTGTGCTTACGATCGTATTATGTGTGATATATATTATATATATGTCGTACTGAAAAGGTAAATTTGGTCAATTAGCAAGAACTCGTTTAAAATTAAGTCCTTTCTAAAATTTTCTCTTATACGTTTGAAGATATATTTTTTCATATATGTTAATGTAAAAATTAGAAAATTATATATGAATATATATTAATATATATATAAATATTATATATATAAATATATATAAATATATATATATATATATATATATATATATATACTTAATATTTATATATATATATAGTTCTATATATATATATATATATATATATTATTATATAAATACACACACATATTATATATATAATTATATATATATTTCTATATATATAAATATACACAATATATATAATATATAATATATATAATATATATATATATAATAAATATTTCTATAATATATATATATTTATTTATATATATATATTAGAATCTATATATATATATATATATATATATAATATATATATATATATAATATTATATAATATAAGGAATAAATATATATATAATAATATATATATAATATATATATATAAATATATATATATAGAAAATATATATATATAATAAATAAATATAAATAATATATATATAAAATATATATATATATATATATGTAATATATATAAATAATATATATTATATAAATAATATATATATATATATATATTTATATATTATATATATATAATATATTTCTATATATTTATATATATAAATATATATATATTTCTATATATATATATTTCTATATATATATATTTTATTTATATGATATAATTTATATAAATATATATATATATTTATTTATATTAAAACTTATATATAATATATATATATATATATATATAATAATTAAATATAATATATATATATTATATATAAATTATATATTTTTAAATATATTTATTTATATATATATATATATTTATAATATATATATATATGTTATCATTTATATATATAAATATATATATAATATATATATATATATATATATATATATTATATATATATATATATATATATATATATATATATGCAAAACAAACACTGTGAAGAAGATAGAGAAATTCCAAGCGCTTTCGTGCTACTCACTTATCAAGGAACTATGAAAGTAAAGCATCCAAGGAAGGTATATAAGGAAGAGTATTAATAAATTCTGGAAAATGTTTTAATAATACACTGGACAAATATTTTTAAATTTTCTTGGGTAGAATAGGTTGTTGGAGTTTGTGCGAAGGACCTGTCCAGGCCGTCGAGCGTCCATGTGTTTAAACCGTTGTGGGATCTGATAGTGAGGTGTTGGCCATACCCCTATATATACCTTCCTTGGATGCTTAACTTTCATAGTCCTTGATAATGTGAGTAGTCACGAAAATCGCTTGGAATTTCTCTATTCTTTCAGAGTGGTTGTTTTGCATATTCTGAATACCTGGTATTTTAACTGATATCTTATTGCATATTTACTTTATATATATATATAATATATTTATATATATATATATATATATATATATATATATATATATATATATATTTATATATATATGTATATATATTTTATATATTATATATATATATGTATATATATTTATATATATATATATAAGATATAAATATATATATATTATATATATATATATATATAGTATATATAATATAAATTATATATATAGTATATATAAGATATATATATATATATCTATAATTTTATATATATTTATGTAAAATATATTTATATATAAGATTTATATATATATAATTATATATATATATGTATATATATTTATATATATATATATTTATATACATATTTATATATATAAATATATATATATATATATATATATAATATATAAATCTATTATATATTAAATATTATATATCATATATATATATATATTTAAATATATAATATATATATAAATATATATATATATTTTTTTTCTTTCTTTTTTTTTCAACAAGTCGGCGCCCCCCGCCGTCCTCACCGAGGCAGGGTGACCCAAAAAGGAAAGAAAAATTCCCCAAAAAGAAAATGCTTTCACATTCAACACTTTTCACCACACTCACACATATCACTGTTTTTTGCAGAGGGCTCAGAATACAACAGTTAGAACATATAACGTATAAAGATACACAACAATCCTCCAAACTGCCAATTATCACAAACCCCTCCTTTTAAAGTGCAGGCATTGTACTTCCCATTTCCAGGACTCAAGTCCGACTATGTGAAAATAACCGGTTTCCCTGAATCCCTTCACCTAAATATTACCCTGCTCACACCTCCAACAGATCGTCATGTCCCCAAGTATCATTCGTCTCCATTCACTCCTTTCTAACACCTCATGCTAACGCTTGCTGGAAGTCCCAAGCGCCCTTGCCCACAAAACCTCCATTAAACCCCCTCTTCCAACCTTTCGAGACGACCCTACCCCTCCTTCCTTCCCCTATAGATTATATGCTTTCCATGTCATTCTACTTTGAATCCAGTTCACTCTGAAAAATGACCAAAACCACCTCACAACACCCTCTTCCGCCCTCTGACTAATGCTTCTATTAACTCCAACACCTTCTCCTAATTTCCACACTCCGCATTTTCTGCATAATATTTACACAACATTGCCCTTCGACAGGACATCTCCACTGCACTGCCTCCAACCGTCTCCTCGCTGCTTGCATTACCAACCAAGCTTCACATCCTATAAGATGTTGGACTACATACTTTCATACAACCCTTCTTTCCTCCATAGTTAACGTTTTTTGAACTCCACATATACCTCAACGCACCACTCATCTTTTTTTTCCCATCAATTCTATGATTAACCCTCATCCTTCATAAATCCATCCGCCGACACGTCAACTCTCCATGTATCTGTGAACATTCACTTCTTCCATACTCCTCCCCAATTTGATATCCAATTTTTCTTTATCTAAATCATTTGATACCCTCATCACCTTACCTTTTCTATGTCACTTTCAAACCTTCTACCTTTACACACATTCTCAAACTCATCCACTAAACCTTAGCAATTTTTCTTTTAGACTCTCCTCATAAGCACAAGTATCAACAGCAAAAAGTACTGTGTCAGTTCCCATTTTGAATTTGATTCCCCTAATTTAATCCCCACCCCTCTCCCGAACACCCTAGCTTTACTTCTTTTTAACAAACCCATCTATACATGTATTAAAACAACCATGGTGACCATACACAAATTCCCCCCCTGCTAAGACTACTTTACCGGGAAGTAGTCTCCCTCTCTTCTACATACCCTAACCAGGAGCCACTAACCTCATAAAAGGCTCTTACAGC